AGTTTTACTTTCATTATAAGTAAATAATTGTAAAAGGCTGACTTTACTAAATATCTACACTCATTGCTACCAGACGAGGAGTACAAAAGACTTGGGGTTTCCTCCTCACTCCACCAATTACTGATTTTGTGACATAGGGTCAATTACTTTTCTAAGCTGCAGTAATTTCATCTTTAAATCAGGTACTATCTGCACTATGTAATGTCCAAGATGCCCATCTACCCACCCAATCATAAACTACAGTGGCAATAGAAGTAGAAGCAGGAGCAATAACAACAACAGTCAAAACAATAAACTAACGATGTGCCATAAAACAAATGATATCATGTAATTGTGATTTGGAAACTGAAAGCCCGAGCATAAAATAACATAAAAATAGTTGTACCATTTAAGTCACTAGGGAGATCCATGCCTTCAGTGTGGTTACACCTCAATGTAGAGAAAACGAAAATCTCACAACTGGACCAATTACAAATGCCATGCTAAATGAAGACAATATTGAAGCTTTCAAGGATTTGATTTTACTTGAAAAAGAGGATGCCCCTCCGCGAGATGGACTGTGGCTACGACAATGGGCTCCAACATAGCCACAATCATGAGGATGACCAAGAGCCGGGCCATGTTTCATTTGATTGTGCACTATGCGTTCTGTTGTACGTGTTCACTACAAATCTGAATTGACGAGATGCCACCTGGTTACAACAATAGGAGATGATATTATTTCTTCAGGCTACAGTTACTCCTTAACATTAGTGAGCATTTGATAAACACCAACTAATTGCCAACCACTCTCCTAGGCAACATTTCCAGAGATTCTTACTGCTCTTCAAGGGAGACATCACTGAAATATGTCAGTAAGGATACTGAAACTCAGAGAAACTGTGCAATCAAAACTGAAATGATGAAGCCAGAAATCTAACCCAGAGTTATCTGATTATAAATCCTCTTCCTATTATAAATGTAATCACATTCTCTTCTTTGAATTTTGAATGCTGACTTTGGCCCACTATTCTTTATACTGTTCCCAATGACTGCCTCTTAAAGTCAACAACTGGTTACCAGTCTCGTTCTGCCTTCTAAATATGATCCTGCTGACTAAGATCCCCAGGAAATTCTTGCTCCAGCCCCACGCCTCACTGTAATGTCTCTTCTCTGTCACCCTACTCACACTTTCCTTCTAATTTGCTTAATCTTTCATTCTCCTTCTCAGCTTCCACCTTCCGGGTCTACTCTCTTTCATTTCATTCAAAAGCTTTTATCTGAGATTTCCTGAACACCTTTCCTAAAACACCTAGAGCTTTAACTTCTTCTTTGCTGTTTGCAATGCACCCTCCACGTTTGTCTTCCTTATGAAGTATTATGTCTCCGGAGTCAGTAACTAGCTCAACCACTCACCTGCAAGGTGTCTAGTTAATGTTGCTCATGAAATTACCACCCAAAGTCTTTGTTGGCTTTTCTCCCCCTTTCGGATAGAACATACTTGACCATCTTTCCGTGCTTCCCAGGGAAATTCAATTAGAAAAGTCACTGACACATTCCACTAGCAAATTATCTGAACTTCTGAATATTAAGTCAAATCATCCTTTTTAACACATAAAACGAATACTTCAGAATGTCTAGACTGTGCCAATTTCGTAGTAATTTCATCTATTCAAACCATAGCAAACATACAATAAATAAGATGCCTCACTGACAACATGTGTCACAGAGCTCAAGCACGATGCGTATTTATATTACTAACTGATACACCCCTTGGTCCTTCCGGTACAATTAAAACTGGCCAAGAAGTATAGTTTTTAAGACTGTGACACATCACAAGGGGGCACACTGAAAATAGTAAGATACGACATCTGAGAGCAAGAATAGAAAAAGGAAAAGTATTTTAAAAGCAGCTCAAGAAAACCACAACAATCCAGGATTACAATTTGTAGAAGCAATAATCTTACAAGGATCAACAGATCCTCCCAAAAAATCAAACTTGCTACCATGCAGTCAATCTCATCTCATGGAGACCCTACAGGACAGGGTAGAACTACCCCTGCAGGTATCTGAGCCTGGAAATTTTCCTGAGAGCAGGCTGCCTCATCTTGCTCCAGAGGAGTAGCTAGTGGGTTGGAACTACTGATCTTATGGTTAGCAGCCCAATTTATAAACCACTATGCCAACAGATTCTATGGCCATCTCTGACACATTGTCCAGTGATAGCTAGGACGATGGTTTTGAGTCAAAAAGAAAAATATTTAACCTGAGTATTAGAAATGAAAAATAAATTGGAGTTAACAGGATAAACTCAGCTGAATATTTTTGTTCTACAAAGATTCATTTTCCAAGGATTCAAGAAAAATTAGTAGTTACTGACTCAAAGTTTTCACTGTTAAAAGCAACATCTTCACTCTTAATCACATATGATTTTCACTAACAATATAGTAGATTCCCTAAAATTATATCAACTCTCTTAACCAAGCTGTCAAAGTAATCTTTATAAAGGAATGGGAAGTTGACAATAATAGACCTATTAAGAAATGTGGGGAGTTGCAATAAAAAGGCCCCTCTACTTTACTATAGAAATATATGTATTAATGAACAAAATACATTCCAAGGGAATAGTTGACTGTCTCAACCTCCATTACTAGAAATAGAAATATTATATAAAATAGGATATACATTATTATATAAAATTCTTTCCAAGCCTCAGGACACAGACACACACACACACACACACACACACACACACACACACACACACACGCTCCCAGTTTCCTCCAGATGAGATATGCTTCAGGCTCCTGGTCCTCCGTTGAAATACTTCTAACTGCCTTTGGGGAAACCCCTAACCCATATCCCAGGTGGCATCCCTCCATTCTTAGGGAAGAGGCATTATAATATTAAGAGCATGCGCTCTGGAGATAGTCAGACTGGTGTCAAATTCTAGCTCTACTGCTGAACTGTGTGACCTTGAAAACTTCTCTGTGCTAAGGTTTGCTCCTCTATAAAATGGAGAGAAAATACCTACCACTTAGCATCACACAAAAATGTTAGTAGGATATAATTTCTAGAACACCTATTATGAACCAGGGACTGTGCTAGGCATTAGAGACGCAGATATAAATAAGAAACTATTACAACTCTAATAAAAACCTCAATCTCATGGGAAAATAAGGCACAGTCAGTACTATGAACATATTGTATGCTGTGGTGAGATGGTACAAAAAATCCCTAAGATACCTGGATTCCCAAGAGATATGTCTTCTGTATCTTTGTTGTTGTTGTTGTCTTCTGTATCTTAAAAGTACAAGTTAGACAAACGGGGGGGGGGGGGGAGCCTACAATAATAGTTTCTGAGACACAATTAGAGTTAATCTTTGCGCATCACATTTGCTTGTTTAAAATACTGTATTCAAATCTGTTGGAAACTTTAAAGGATTATATGTATACTGTTGAGTATGAAAGTATTGAAAAAGCTCAACTGCCCCAGAATTTCAATTCCTTCCACCTAATGGGCAGTGTGAAATTCCCACTATAAAAACCCATCTCCTAAGAATGCATTTTTAAATGCAAGATTCACCTAATATGGTAGTAGGTAAAAAGAAAATTAATATAAGCCTTCTATGGGCCAGATATTTTTATATTGGTTATGTCCCCCAATCCTCAGGACAACACAATGAGGAAAGTATTATCATCCTCATTGTACAGATAAGGGAACAGGCTTCTTGAGGGTAACTGATGAGCCCATGGACTGTATCCGTGGAAGCAGCAATCAAGAAATCAAATGATGGATTGCATTGGGCCAATCTGCTGCACAAGACACCTAAACCGTGGTATTTTCTTTTTCGATTAGTTTATTAATTTCTGACAGTTTTGCTAACATAAAATTCACGTATCCTACATTTCAATAGTTTAATCACAATTCATAAGAGTTGTGCAACTGTCACCACTATCAATTCCAGGTCAGTTCTTCCTCCTTGCACTTATTGTTGTTAGCTCTCCATTTCCCGCCCACCTCCCCTGCCCTGTCCCTTTGAAACTACTAAACCAGTTGTTGTCTCTACAGGTTAACCTTTCCTGGGTTTCACATGCAGAAAAACATACAAAATCAGAACAAAACGCAAACAGCCCAACAACAGAGTATAACAGAAAAGCCTCGATTGAAAATGAAGTCGAAAATGTTAAAAACTAGAAGAGTTATTGGATCCAGAGAGAGGTCAAATGCCAAAGTGTCAGATTTGGACCTAAGTACAATGTTCTCAGTCTTGTAGCCAGGCCTTTCCCAGCCCTGGTCCATAGTCAGAGGGGGGTCCCCTGGAGCTTGATTAATCCACATAAAGGCCTTGCGAATGGGTTCGGGGTTTTCACTGTTATCCATGGACTTCTGCAAACTGGGTGTTCAGAATTTAGGCTATACTACTGTTCCCTCGTCTAGGCTTGGTTTCTATTTTTACAGTTCTTGGATTACATAGCCTCGTGCACTTTTTCTGTGTGGATTTAGTTGACGTCTCACTTAGATGGCTGCTTGTTTTTAAGAAAAGCCTAAGACTCCAGACGCTATTCTTTCTAATAGATGGGCAACATCTGCTTTCTTCACCACACTTTGCTATAACACTTGTATCTTCAGTGGTCACTTTATGGGGGCATTAAGCCAGGCCCAGTCGTGGTATTTTCAAAAGCATGTGAAAGTTGGACTCTAAGTAAGGGACATTAAACATGAATGTAAACTGTGAATTACAGTGCTGTTGCACAATACTGAAACTACCATAGACTGCCAGAAGAACAAACAAATCTGTTTTGGAAGAAATACACCTAGAACATTCCTTGAAAGTGAGGATAGAGAGGTCGCTTATGTACTTTGGAAATGTTGAAGAGACCAATCTTTAGAGAAATACATCATGACCCCTCATAACCACCAGGCAGTGGTGTGTTCTGTGAGTCAACACTGACTGGAGGGGCCGAGATCCGGGCGAGAAGCGAGAAGCGGCTAACTGAGGAGCTCCTAGATCCTCACCATGTTTCAGCCTGAGGGCCTCGCGCCGAAGCTGGAAATGAAACGGATGATGCATGGGAGCGTGCTCTCCTCCATAGGGAACTTTCTTATCTGCGTGGCCCTGCTGGGACTCACTCCCTTTAGCTTAAAGAAATTGGATAGCATATAAAGAAGTGGCAACATGAGAATGTACGATATGAAGAAGCTGGTTCCATCTGCAAACGAATAGACCCACAAAGATATACCAGACACTTTGAATGGACTTAAAAATTCTGCTTGTGAAGGCCAAATTTTGATTTTAGTGACTGACTAACTCTAAAAAGTGAATTGGGAAATTTGAAAACAGTTTTCCTGGTCATATTTCAACCCTTTTGCCTCTGATACTTGGCCTCTGGGAATGTTGGTATCACTGGAAATAATGTCACACTGCGTTTTCCAGCAAGTATTCATCACGTGTCTGAAGTCGTTCTTTCTTTGCTGTCATCTCTGTGGACCCTTATTTCTCCCGAGAAGGTAGTTGTGAGCCTGTGACAATCAGTTTTTCTTGTGGAAGCAGCACAGAACGACAAGGACAGCTGACCACAGAGCCACTCATCTATATTTTAAATAAATGCTTCTTTTTTTAAAAAAATAAAGCAACTGACTTGACACCCAACAATAGTATGTCCAAGGACACAACTATCAAGCGGATGAGTCAGGATTCCAAACTGGAAATCTTGAGCTGCATCATTAAATTACACTGCTTCCCGATGAGCGGATTCCGGGAACCCAGGAGGCAAGAGAATTTTGGGAATGATGAGGGCAACAAATGTATAGATGTGCTTTACACAATTGATCTATGTATTGTGATAAATTGTATGAGCCCCAATAAATTGATTAATTAAAAAAAAAAAATTACACTGCTTCCCTAGTGTACCGACATGAAGGTAACACACAGTACGGGGTAAGAGGTAGTCACAAAGAACCCTCTTCCCAGAGAATTTGGTAAAACGACTTCACTGGTTCTAAATCACAAATGAAAAAATATGGTGATTATTTTGAGAAATGCGGGCACGTACCTATAATACTGTGGGACAAAACAGTCAGTGACTAACATGCCCTGGGGAGCAATTTGGAAATGCGTTGGGGTCCTTTTACTGCTCATAATTACTGGGGGGGTGCCACGAGTATTTGGTAAGCAGAGGTCAGAATCAAAGAATTTGTGAAGTAGTTCTAGGATTAATAATACGAAGCTTTTTTACAAAAGGTACCAGAAAATCCTAATACTTTATGGTAAAGTCTTTATGTAAATCAAAGAAAGACTGTCTCCACATGATTGAGTGAGACATCCACTCCGTACCCTATACATTCGCACATTTTCAACTACATATCCATTGAAAGTGGTCTTAGCATAATAGTGCAGTTACTGCAAATAGGCCACAGAGGATATTTGAATGTCTTTTGAATAGACTTTAAACAAACTCTATTAGTAGTGACACATGAACCTCATGAATCCTAGTAAAAGTTATTTTAAAACACTTCCTATGAGTGGTAGCCCAAAATCCATTTACACGATCCCTATGTAGATTAAGTCCCTGGTGAATCCCCACTGGAACGTTAGCAGCCCTAATAGCAGACCAAAAGAGCACTGTAAAGTGGATTTTAGCAGCTGTACTTAGACTACAATGTAACACCTTGCAATTTGATCTCATTCTGGACCCAATTTATTCTAAATTTGAAATCTCTGCTTTCTCAATTGGGGTCTTTCCCTGTTTTATCTGGTCATTGGTGTTGGGTCTTTATCTGCTGTTTGTCCTTGTTTTGTATATTTATTTGTACAGGGAAACCAGGATGGGCAAAATTTATGGAGGCAGTTTCTAGGTTGATGATTGCCTGGGGGCATGGAAGGGAAGGGTGGAGGAAGTGGAGAGTCAACATTAATTGGTACACAAAGAAAGAAAACATTCCAAAGTTGATTGCACAACCTTCCTTATATGATTTGACTATTGAATTGTATGAGATGTTAATTATAGCTCAATAAAACTTAAAAATTGAATAAAAAATATTTCATATTACTGTCATATTTACCTATAGTTATGGTGAATGTATATATAATAAAATGTCATTTCATATTCTTCACATATACCTATCAATAATATTAACTCATCATGCTGTGCAATCACCATAATCATTCCCAAAATTTCCCATCGCCATTAACAGATTCAATGTCTCCCTTTCCCCTTACTTCCACCCCCACAGCCACTAATAAATTTAGGTCTATATACAGTTCCCTATTCTAAATATTTCTCATAATTGGGATTATACAACCTTAATCCTTTTGTGACAGACTTATTTCACTCAGCTTGATGTTTTCAAGCTTCAACTATGTGGTAGCATGTATCAAGACTTCATTTCTCCTACTGGCTGAATTATATTCCATTGTCTGTATGGGACACATTTTGTTTATCCATTCATCATTTGGTAGACATTTTGATGGTTTCTACTTTGTATCTATCATGAATAGCACCGCAAGGAACATTGTGTAAGAGTTCCTGTTCATGTCCTTACTTCAAATTCTTTGGAGCATAGCCTTGAGATTGGGATTGCTGGATCAGACGGTAGTTCTATGTTCAACATTTTGAGGAGTCACCATACTGCTTTCCCAAGCAGCCCTATAATTTCACAATCCCACGAACAATGAATGAAGATTCCTATTTCTTCACATGCTTGACAACACCTGGTGTTTTACTTAAAAAAAGAAAATTCGTACCTGTCTTAGTAGGCAGTGGAGCTCTGGTGTCGTAGTGGATTACACAGTAGGCTGCTAATTGCAAGCAAGGTTGGCGATTCAAACACACCAGGTACTTTGGTAGGTGGAAAATGAGGCTTTCTGCTTGAGTAAAGATTTACAGCCTTGGAAACCATTGGAAGAAGTCCACTCTGTCTGATAGGACTGCTGTGAGTCAGACTCCATTTGATGACAGTGAGTTTTAGTAATCAAGATTTCTTATTGTTGTTGAGATGTGCACCCACGCACACAGCCTTGGTGGCATAACAGGTAGGCATAAGGCTGTTCCGTAAAAGGTTGGGAATTTAAACACATTCAGGAACTCCTCCGGACAAAGATCCGGGAATCTGCTCTCATAAAGATTACAGCCTAGAAAACCATATAGGCAGTTCTACTCTGTCACATGGGGTTGCTATGTGTTGAAAATCAACTTGACAGCAACTACCAACAACAATGACTAATGACTAGTGAGCAGAGTCTGGTGATCTACTTTTGAACATCAGTGAAAACCCTCTGGCATCCCAAATGACCATGAGCATGTCACAGATCCAGGTAACACTCCATTCTGCACAGACTTACTGCGACTCAAAGAAGGACTTTTTTAAAAACCCACTTTTGATTGTAATTTGGATGAAAGCTCATCGAAAACAAACAGCGTTTCCATTCAATAATCCATACACATTTTGTTTTGGGTATGAAGTCCCCACAATGTATCAAACAGCACTCTTCCCACTGCCTCCCTGTGTTTTCCCTTTCCACTCATCCTTTTGTTCCAACTCCTTTCTGCCTTCGGAGATTTAGCCCTAGGCAAATGCAGTACCTCTGATCTCCTTTGGCTGATAGTTACTGTGTCCAAGGCAAAGTCAATATTCTTTGAATATTCAAATACACCTTAATTCAAATACATCAACTTTTCTGCTATCACCCTTATTCATTACCCAACTTTAACATGCATATGGGGCAACCGAGAATACCATGACTCGGGTCAAGAGCACCTTAGTGCTAGAAGTGAAATCTTTGCACTTTACCATTTTAAAGATGTCTTTGGCAACAGATTTGTCCAATGTCATACAGGATTTTGTTCCTTGACTACTGCTGTTGATGTGAAATCCTTGACGACTTCAGTCTTTTCGGTTTATCATGATGCTATCTACTGGTTCAGTTATGAGGATTTTAGTTTTCTTTACATTGAGTTATAATCCATAATAAAGGCCACAGTCTTCGATTGTCCTCAGCAAATTCTCTAAGTCCTGCTCACTTTCAGCAGGGAACGTTGTGTCAGATGCCTATCAAAGGTTGCTACTGAGCTTTTCTCCAATCCTGATGCCACCTTCTTCTTAAGAGAGTTCAGTTTCCTGGATTCTTTGTTGAATTTCCACAGTTCTGTATATTTTCTAGCTTTTATACAGTTATTATTTTCTAATTTATCTCCATCGCAGTTGGCAAAAAGATTTTGTTTGATTTCATTCTTTTCAAAATTTATTGAAACTTGTTTTGTCATGTAACATGTGCTTTGTGATCAGGAAGCCCACACAGAACGATTAGGTGAGGGTCCACCTTTTCTGTAGTCACAGATCAGGACCCCTTTCTCCTCCTCAGGGAAGCTGTAGCTTACCTGTTATTGTAGCAGCTGTTTGTCCATGGCATTGGGAATGGGAGGGGCATGCATGCTCCAAACAGACCACCAGTAAGATCAGTCCTGTTAATTTCAGCTAGATTCTTAGGTCTTTCTCTGTGTGTGAGTACGCTGTGTGCTTTCTGGGGGATTGGGCTCCATTGGAACTGTCTGTCTGTATGTCTTACTACATTCAAGAAGCCCTGAGAGAGGGAAGGGTGTAGAGATTGGACAAAGTACTTCTCCTAACATAAGAGAACCATCTTTGCCTTGGGTCTGTCTGAATTCCTTTCAACTGGATTCAATATCCCTTTGACCCAGGCAAAAAATTTCTTAGTGTTCTTGTAGGGAAGGTCAGGAATCTCCACCTGCTCATGTTGACATCTTCCCACAATTAGTCTACATATTTTTATGGTGACGCTAAGAAATCTGTGCTATCGAAATCATATTGAAAGTACTTCTGTGTTACCTTTTACTTTACAATGTTCTCTGAACAGAAACAATTACTACCCAATTTTTTAAGAGCTTCTTGTTTTACTGTTTCGCTTTCTAACTTATCTTCTGTTGCTCAGGGTCTAGAGAAGAATATGGTCTTCAAAGTTTTTATAAGTACTGGAAATTTAAAATACGCCTTGACAGGTACTGATATCTTAAAATAGGAAATATGGTTTCTGTGATATCACATAATTACTCAATCCCATATCACAGCATAGGTAAATATTATGACACTGTACTTATAAATATGGCCTAGATCATTTGTGAGAATATCATACTTCCTCATTTTCTC